CGGGCATGTACCCGCCATTTCCTCATAAAGTCAGTATTTTTTTTTTATCGGCTGTTTTCTCAAAATGCGACTTTCCTCTATACTTTTTTGAATAACTACACCATTTTTCATTCAATCTTCATGAGATTTTCACAAAATAAAGAGAAGAGGTAATACTAAATATTCGTCTGTTGAATTTTTGATATATGCAATAGATTTTTGTTGGTGGTGTCTGGAGTGTGGATTTTCACGGATTTTTCGCAAACTTGAAAGCTACCTCAGGAAAAAATTCATTAAAAAGTTTCTAATTCGATTAGGAAAAAAACAACAGACAAGTTTTTAGATCTAATGTTTGTAAACACGCATGCAAAAAAACCCAATCAATTTCCATTTGCGATAAGTGCGATATTCATTACGTAAGACATATCAATAAAATCCAATATGGCGGCGTATCCATGGAAACAATTTTTTTTTCTCAAATTTGATTGCAGATCTTAGGACTCCTTACTATGCTTGTTATATGTGTGAAATTTGGTAATATTCGGTCCAGTAATAAGCGAGATAGCCTCCAGGTGTAAACCCCCCCCCCCCCTTTAAGGCCAACTTGTCACAGAGAGACCTAATTTGTGTTTTCTCACAAAGCGAGAGTTATCACTAAAAGGCATGTTTCCAAGTACAGTGGCGTCGGTAGTCTAGTGGTTAGGCTACCGGACTCGTAATCGTGGGGTTGCAGGTTGGGGGGTACGAGCCGCCGGCCCGACGTTGTGTCCTTGGGAAAGACAGTTTACACGAATTTTCCCCACTTCACCCAGGTGAAAATGGGTACTCGGCTATAGACAGTGAAAGATCTTGTCAGTTTGTTAGTGTTTGAGCGCTTAACCAGCTGCTTGCACTGTATGCTTCCCGGGAAGCTGAGAATGTTTCAGAGTATTCTATGGTCTGCTGGAGTAATAATGTAGTGTAAAGCACATAGAGCTTGCTTTCGAGTGGGGACATCCGCTATACAAATGCTATTATTATTATTATTATTATCATCATCATCATCATCATCATCATCATTATCACTTTTTCATCATTATTATCATTTTTTCATCATCATTATCATTTTTTCATCATCATTATCATTTTTATTTTATCTCTTTAATTAATAATTCTATTTCATTATTATAACTTTTATGTACTAGCAGTACATATTTAGAATGACAGAGAAAGTCATTAATGAACATTGCCATGTACATTGACATCATCAACATTCTACCATCACAGTAATGACGACCCCTGCCCAGAGTACGATTGTATTCTAATCGGTTGCGATGCTGGAAACCCGCCTCAATGCTTGTTTGGGGATCTGATGACGGAGTAAGAAAATTTGCATTAATTATGATAGATTCTAATATTTTTTTCGTTAAATTTTAATGTTTGTGTTTGGTGTTATATTCTAGGTTTCTCAAGATCCTACTTTCTTATTTTCTGTAAAAAAAAAAAAAAAAAAAAAAGAATTGAAAATTATGGATGCTGTATTAAACAAATTAGTTAGAACAAGATTAGAAATAATAAACACTCGTGTGCCTCTTTTTCGACTTTTAAAGTGCAAGGAACTAAGACAATATTATTATATTATTACATAGTACTATTTCAGAATGATCAGTAGTCGAAAAAAGTATGTAGGCTTGCTTGAAAAAAAAATACAGCTATTTTAACTTTATAGAAGTAAGCATGTATTTCTATAATATAATATTATATATCTATCTATCTATCTATCTATCTATCTATCTATCTATCTATCTATCTATCTATCTATCTATATATATACATATATATATATATGTGTGTGTGTGTGTATATATAATAAATATATTTTAATATATAATATATTATATATATATATATATATATATATATATATATATATATATATAAATTATATATACACAATATAAAATGATATTTACTTATACGTAGTATAGATATCGTATGCCACGAAAATCTGATCACCTCCCAAAAGCTATAACAGCAATATAATGTTTGAACAACGGTTTAACTCCTCTTTTTCACAGAGTGGACGACCGAGGCTGCCTTTCATACAGATGTGAAAATGTAAGTAGGACATGTAGTTATACCAAGCTCAGGCCATTTCATGATTTTGTTTATTGAAAAATCGTTTCTTAGCTTCAAAGTATGGTATTTTTTTCCGTTTTCTCCTCCCCTTGTTTTCTCTATCTATCTATCTATCTATCTATCTATCTATCTATCTATCTATCTATCTATCTCCACGTCCTGGCCTATCTAGGCCTGCATTGGCTGCGTGGGGTGCAACATCCCACAGGCATACAGAGATAACAAATAAATGAGAGGTAGTGGAGTCAAATCAGGCTCCTGTCAAAATAATCAACGTTATGAAACTGGCATTTTTCTGCAGCTTTGTGATTTTTTTTTGGGGTCTCAACACCTTTTATACCCATTAAAGATCACATTTCTGTGTGGATTTTACTGAAAGACGTTGTGTAAAGGCACAAAATATAATTTTGTAACTTTTCAGTTTCCACTGACTCTCAAGCTAAGGAAATTACTAATCTTTGGCAGCCATTTTCTCACTAATTTTACATCTGAAACCAAGTGAAACCCACCTCCTTCATTCGAAAATAACTCGACTTGTATTCAAGATAAAAGGTCATTTAAAAAAAATTAAAAGCAAGTCAAATGAACAAGCTTTAAGATGATACCAGTGACTCTACTTGCTCCAAAACTGACGAGTGCCTGATTCCATCACGTCTTGACACAAAAGACTTCCCAACTCGGTAGTCAAATCCAACCATTTTGGGTTGTTGTTTTTGTTCTTTTTCTCTTACACTTGTTGAAAACTTTACCATGAACTTTTGGACCGTCTGTACTGTAACATCCTCGTTTCTTTTCTACATGACAGGGCTGCCCCGATAACCCACCAGAGTGTGCGGAAGGAGAAGAACTGATTATCAAGTAAGTTTTTATTTGGTCGCTTTTAAGGACAAGCGGGCTAACCCAGAATTGGGGTGTTTCCTGCAATCTTCACCTTACTATAACTGGTCACTTTTAAGGATAAGATGGCTAACCCAGAATTCGAGTGTTTCTAGCAATCTTGACCTACACCAAAATTGGGCATTGCCCTACCTATAGGAGAAGATTGGTTTCATTGGTGTGTAAATTTGTTAAGTTTTCGAGAAAACTTTCCTTGTCTTTTAAATAAACTGAACAAGGGTCTAAAACTTTACCTACGATTATCTCAAGACAGCATTTTTCGTGATAGCCCCCTTGTGCATAAAGGCGACCATTTATTTGAGTGGATCGTCTTAAGTGTGTTAAGGTTTCACTGTTGTTGAACATTACAAATATCAGCACAGCAGATGTGGAAAGATGTGAGAGCAATATTATTAACATTCTGACAGTATCTAAAGGGCAACTGCGTCTAATGCAAATATGTCTCCAAAATA